TATTTTCTTCAGTTATTGTTACATCATCATGTTTTGTACACGGGGGAATTCTCTGATTTTCTTTACGATGAGTTATTTTTGGAGTATTCAGTACTCTTTCGAAGTGGTTTGCGAATTCTGAAGTAATAGATTCTTTGTCTTTTTTTATTATTTATGGTAAATAATCTAGAATTTATGTCTTTGTTTAAACATCTAAAAGCATTCCAAAAGTTTTTTGGTTTAGTATTTTTTAACTTTTCAATTTTAATATATTGTGCGCAAATATTATTATTTTGAGCCGACTTGACGGCTTTACGAAAGTTTTTACGAGCCATTTGGTAACGGTTAAATGATACCGAGTTTAACTCTTTAGAAAAACCAGAATCTCTCCATTTTTTAAAATGAATTGAAAGAATAGTTTTAGACCGACTTAATTCAGGTGTCCACCAAGATTTTGAATACAAACATTGCATTTTATTTTTTAAAGTCTCCTTAAAAGCTATTTGAGCGCTGTCAGTAATTTTTTTTATAGATTTGGAGAAGGTCGTATTCATAATCGTTAGTAAAATTAAGATTGTTAAAGCGATTGGTTAAATGAACATTGTAAGAATTTATAAAGTTAGAATCGTTCCAAGCGTAGCTAGGTATATTAGTATCTTCTGCTAGTTCAATGGTATTGCATTCGGTGTACTTAACTTCAACTGATATTAATAGTGGTAGGTGGTCGCTCAAATTATTTGAGCATTCAGGATGAACAATGCATTTAAGATTTATAAAACTTGTATATTTTGATACGGCGAAGTGATCAATATATGACGAATTCGGTAGTGTCTGGTGTCGATATGTATAATTAGGGCCAGAACCTTTAGTTACATCTACTAGTTCTAATTGATTTGTTTTTAAAAATTCCGATAAGTGCACAGAATAACTATTTCTTTTAGAATTTGATCTTTCAAATAAATCATACATTTGGTGAGGAAAGGATTGGAAGTCACCTGCTAATATTATATTGCCGTTACCTTCGTAACTATCAATTAGACCTTTAACAGTATCTAGTTGACCTTTATATTCTTCCAGAGACGAGAGGTTATTCCGCGATGAGGAGAGGTATAACCCAATAACTATAATATTAAGATTGTTTTTTTCGAAATTTATTGCTAAAATATGGTCGTCCTCGTAAATTACCCTTATATTTTGGAATTTATTTTTTCGTACAAAAAACGCATTTCCGCCAAACGGTCGGCCTTTTTCATGTTTATTAGACTGATGGAAATAAATGGAGTGTGTGTTATTAGATATATCCCTTATTACGGAGTATTCAAGTTTAGATATCCAATGTTCACATAAGAAAGTTATATCATAGGATTGTATAAGTGACTTTGTAAAATCAATGTTTGACTTAAGTTCCTGACAGTTGAAAGTACATATATCGAAAGTTGTTGAAGATTTGTTTTCTTCTCTTATGGTGCTTGGATCCATTTTCAATTAATATTTGTTATTCCCCCGTTGGATACCAGATGATCCACGTTAGAATATATGCGCTTTTTACGGAATGGTTTAATGATGATATTATTATCCCATAATGAAGGGTTGAAAATTTTATCTTTTTCTGAATTACTTACGGAGACTCTATACGATCTGTTGAATTCGTTTTCTCTGTTTAAAGTAATTGATATAGGCGTAACACCTAATTCAGTTTCCATATACAATTTCATATGTTCTTCGTTGATTCGATTGCTAACACCACCTATAAAAACTTCAAATCTACGAATTATTCGACTACCAGCAATAGTCTCATTTCCCGGAGTTTTCGTTCCAAATATAGGCTCCAATAACTTATGTTTTTTTTCTAAGGGTAGAATATTTGTTTGGCGGACAGGTTTATTATTTTTTCCAACTAAATTAAAACTATTCGGATTATCATCAATATTTGAAGGTTTTTCTTTAAATTGGTTAGTTTTGTCTGAGGTCTGTTGTTTTTGAGCCGCAACCTTTGCATATGTTTTGATATTATGCGGTTGGCTTTCTGTATAAATGCTTGCATTCGTTTTGCCACAAGGTTGTTGAAAATTATCTTTTGCAGCATTTGCGGTGACATTAGAATTTTTATTTTCGTTTAGTGTGTGGTAATTAAAAAGCTTATTTTCGCATTGGGCATAATAATCGGATTTTAGGTTTTCCGTATTTGCATTTGATACTTTGGGGATACTTTTAAATAACTTACCGCAAGAGTTATTAACGTTTTGTGTATCTTCAGCGATAGATTTTGAGCACGTGTTTTTATCGTGTTTTAAACTACTATTTATGTTTTGCCTCGGTTGATTTTTAAGAAATAAAAGGTTATCGTTAGATACTATTAGGTCTTGAATAAGCACATTTTGTATACTTATTTTTTCTTTTAACAAACCTAATTCCACTTTTATTTCTATATTTTCGTTTTGGATTGATTTCGAAATTTGTAATAAATCTTTTAATGATGAAGTCAGAAATTTATCGTCTAAGTGCGCAGTTTCTATATTCTTGCAAGAGATTAATGTCTTTGAAATTTCTTTGTGCAACTGATTTTCGCATAGAGTTATCGAGAAGATAAATATATCTTCTAAACATTTGGTTGTTTTGTACCGTTTACGAAGATTTTTTTCCATTGGATTTTCTGAGTCTAACGTTACGTTAATCTCTCTGAATTGTTCACTACTGAAGCTATCCAAAACTTCAAAAAACAAACGTTCACGGAGACTTCTTATTACATTTTCTTTCATTGAGTTTAAATTGTGTATTATAATATCTTTTGGGAGCGAACATATTTCTTCTAAATTCTTCAAAAAGTTGCATTCGAATGTGTTCAAATCTGAGTTCAGATATACAAATATCTCACTAACGGTGCGTGGTGTCATGTCGTATTGAAGTGTTATTAGATAATTAGTTCCACTTTAACATTAATCTTCATTATAATAAATATTCATAAATAGTTTTTGATAAATATTTTTATTGATTTTTTTCTTCTCTTTAAACACGTCTTACTCAAACAATACTCAATACTTATCAACGTCTTACTCAAACAATACTCAATACTTATCAACAAATTAATATTATTGTTATAATTATTTGGTATCAGTCCTTTGATCAGATTTCTGGATGATTGACTCCAGTCAATCATTTATCTATATTTATTCTTAATATTGGTTTTATTATTTATAATATTATAGATATTCTTATTCTTAATATTGTTATTATTTTTCTTATTATTATTACTATTGTGATTATTTTTATTAATATTATTATTAATATATTATTGTAATTAGATGGTTGTAAACTTTGAGGAAAATATATATGTTGTTGTTGTTTGTTGTTTAAACCTTAATCATATTCTTATCTTAATGAACTTAATAAAAAAATATCACCAATCTTATTGAATTTACTTTTTAAAAAAATAAATCACATACCAGATTTTCAAAAAAAGTTTACTTTCAACCCGAAATTATTCAGTTACTAAACTCTTATTTTACCAAATCTTAAATATAACTTCTTGTATTACTAAATGTTTTGAAAGTTGTAGATGATATTTTTGCATATTATTACAACATTAAATATGTTTTAAGATCTATTTTTTTGGGGTTGGTGATAAGAATAAGACTGTCTTCTTTTAGCCTCAGTCATATAAATGTTTGTTTTTTTAAATTACGATTTAAATTATTTATTTGCTTATAGACAAACACACACACACACACACACGCACACACACACACACACACACACACACACACACACACACACAAAAAGTATTTTGTACAAAGTAACAATTTAGTGTTTTCACGGTACCCAGTACTTCAGTACCTTCACGGTTCTTTATTAAAAAAGTAGTTACGGTGAAGTATTTCAACGTACCGGGTATATCGGTACTAAAATTAGCGTCGAGTAATTTTAATAGTACAATAGTGCTGCATATAAAGCTTGTTCTTCATTTAGATTTTTTTCAGAATTGCCGTCTTTAAGTGAAGCGGAATTGCGTAAAATAAGGATTTAATAGCATAAAAAATAAAGATGACTTGCGGTTTAGTTAAAGTAACCCTTCTCATCGGAAGAAGTAACTTTCCGCATCGGAAGTTGAAAACGGACTTTAGAAGCTTTTATAACAAAAATAAAAAAAAAATTAAAAATTAAAACCTGAAGAACAACACATAAAAAAGAAAGGGTGTCAAAGCAAGATATGATAGAATTTCTTGTTTGCTGTCGATGATTAAGGTAATATAGTAGACAAAAATAAAACAACTTGCAAACGATGCAGGAGAAATTTTACCACAAAAAGTGGAATCACTTCTAATCTCATAAAACATTTAAAAGATTGACATACTGATTTAATGAAGAAGTTGTGTTTATTTAAGGTGTGTTTATTTTACAGTTACAAAATTTACCTTATTTAGGACTTAAGAATATTTTTTCGTGATAGCTGATAAGAATAGAATATTTCTCTTCTTAAATACCTTTTTGGTGTTTTCTTTTTTGCTGTTGTTGTTGATTTTTTTTCGTTTTTTTACTTTTTTTTTACAGTTCATATTCTTTGGTTATTTTTATCATAAAATTTTAGATTATTAAATGTCAATTTTTAAAATGCTGTCAACTCGTTAATTAAATAATTGATAATAGATAATTGGATGAAACTTAAAAATTTTTGATAAATATAAATTAATTTAGAATAGTAAAAAAAATTTTTTATGTTGCTGTCTTTGAGGTTGTTGTTAAGAACGAATAACATTTTGTTGTATCTAGGTTCCAATAAGCTGCAATCATATGCAAAACATCGCACCAAAAAAAACTGTAGCAGATATTGTATAAAAAATTTGTTCTAAAGCAGATTCTTAAAAAAATTTTGAAAATACTTAATGAGCAAAAATGTGGTTGCCTCGAATAATTAAAAAGAATATTTTTTAATAATTGGTCTGTAAAGCAATAAATATAATTATCTAATAAATATTTTTAAATCATCAATATAGTACACTCCTTTTTTAAAGACATTTTTTTTAATTATTTGTTATTCGTTTATCTGAAGAATTTCGGAAGTAACGAAAAATATAGTTCACAAAATTACTTTCAAAAATATTTTTGGGTTTTTGTTTGTGTTTGCATAATAACAGAAGATTTTTTTTATTGCTTTTTCGAACGTTTTTATTTTATAAGCAAATTGTTTATTATTTTTTTCTTTAAGTACTCTTCTCGCAAATATTTGAATCGCTGCATAGAAGCGATGTTTTAGTTATTTTTCTGGTCCTAACTCCCAAAGCTTTTTCTTTTTTTCTCACCCAAGGTAGTAATTTTAGTGCGTGTCGTAATCCTTTGCGATAAGTGACGCTCAATAAAAAGTATAGCATTGGGTTAATGCTACTGTTAGCATATTGTATAACGTATCCAAAGTATGCCGCTTTACGTAATGCTTGCTGACAATGAATATAAAAAGGATGAAAATATGACAAGAATTGTATAATGTGAACTGGACCCCAACAAATTGCAAAGTTCATTACTACAGCAACTAACATTCGAATGACGCGACGTTTTCGTAACACGCTCTTTTTTGGAAGTACATTAACTTTATTTCTTTTTTGCATTTTTTTCTTATATATATACTTATTTCTTAAAAATACTTCAACCTTTTCTTTTCGAATTGAATCTAGCCAATTGTTATTTTCAATAATATTTTCCATGGCAATTTCCTCTTTTGATTCAACTGTGCATGATCTATATGAACTAGAATTATCGTCCATGCTTACAGAAGATGTTAGTTTTATAGCCATGATACTATACAATATCAAAATGATTATCAAAGGTATAAGATATAAACACGTGAACAAAACCACTGTATAATGACGCGCACTTTCAGTGGGCATAAAATCAGGCCATGTTTCTGCACATACTTTTTTATTATTTTCAATAATAACTTTCTGTGTAAATAGTACTGGTGAAGCAAAACATAAAGAAGACGTCCAAATGACAGGTATTATAAACTTTAGCATGTTTAATGTTACTAACTTTTTAAACGGGTTCATGATTGCGCAGTATCGATCTACTGCTAAAACCAAAAGTGTAAATATTGAAGCTGAAACTGAGCAGTAGTTACATAAATATAAAAATGAGCACATAAATGATCCCATTGACCATACTCCTTTGTACTTCACAAGATCCAAAACTTCATAGGTGGTTGGTAAGAATGTAATTAATAAATCTGCAACGGACGAGTTGCAAATTAAAAGATTTGTAACAGTTCGCATATGTCTGTTTGCAGCAACAACCGTAAAAACGGCACAATTTCCAATTATTGATAAAAATATAATCAAAATGTAGGTTGTAACCAAAATATTATTAATCTCGTTACTTATTGTTGTAAAATTGCCACACGAATCATTCATTTCTGAATTAGAACTATTTCTGAAACTTCAACATAATGTTGTCCAAAAAAACGTAAATATTTAGCTGATATCTTTTTTTTTTTTGCATCTGAAAATGTTGATCTCAAAAATTTTAAACTTTAAAAAATTATGTATTAAAGAAGTTACACTGGGAATATTATAAGATGTACAAAATAATTTGTTAGCTTTCATTATAATTTGATATAATCAATGAAAATAGCAGTTGTTAGTTTAAAATATTTTAAAATATTTGGAATTATTAGCTTAAAAATTTTAAAAGAAAAAAGCAGCAGAATTTTTTACACACACAAACACACGCACACACACAAACACACACACGCACACACACATATAATAGCAAAAATAATAAAAACAATAGCAACAAAAAATAATAATGTTAAATAAATATGTTTAAAAGATTATAACTATAAGCTTATTAAAATTTGTTTTTTAAAACTCTTTTTTAATACTTGCGAAAAAAAAAAAGTTGTTTTTAATTCGATGTAATCCGATGAACAATTCCATGATTACTTGTAATTTAATCTAATATTTTATTTCATGTGTTTTTGAAAATATGCTACTTTTAGACCTTCTGTTTGTTTGATTCCATTTGGATTATTTACTGAAAAACTATGAATAAACTTTTTTCAAAAATGTAAAATTTAGTAAACAAGTGTTAAATTTATAAATATTGTTAAAATACATATAAAGAGGCAAAATTCACTATTGAAAAAAGATTTCTCTGAAAAACATTCCCTAAGGTTAAGCAAACTAACATTAAAACATAACAAATAAAGTTTAGCAAACTTACTTAAAAACACAAACAAAATAAAAATACTTTCACAGTCTTTTTATGTATGCTTGAATTAATATGAACATCGATTATGCTGTTTTTTTAATTTCTCATCCAAACTCGGCGAGGGGAGGAGTTTTTCAGTTTGATCGTTAAATTAATTCATCCAATCCGTTTAAAAATTTTTTAAAAATGCACGAAAAAATGTGTCGGCATACTTAACTATTAAATTACATGAAGGTTTTTCTGTACCTTTATTCTGTGTCCTCCAGACTCGATATTCCAAACTCTTATTACATAAATACTTTTTTGTGATATATTATGATAAGTTTGATATCTATTACAAAAAGGTAAAAGGAAAATAAAATTAAAAAAAAAATGTTAAACTTTGCTTTATTCACTGATTATGTTGTTTTAACAAAAAACATATAGTAAATTAGTAAAAAAAAAAAAAAAAAAAAAAAAAAAAAAACAAGTTTCAGTTATCGTGTTACAGATATCTTTTTTTTAAAGTTTAGAGCACGCAATGAATTGCATGGAAGAATTGTATTGAACAATTACGTTGAAGTGCAGGAGGTTTCAAATGTTAGTAAAACTTCAAACCCCTTAATTTTAAAAATATATTTTCACAAATAAAATAGTAACCAAGTAAATTTTTAAAATATTTCATAATTGTTATAAATTTTAAGTTGAATAGATTAAAAGTTTTCTAATTATTCAAAAAAGCCTAGATTTTGATTTCCAAAACTATACTAAAGACCAAATTTCTTTTAATAGAAAACTTTTTTACTTAAAAATCTTTGTTCTAAAACAAATTTAGTCTGAAATAACTTAAATACTGCAGCAACATTCATGAATCTTTTGAACCTCAAAACTTAAAGGCAAAGGTTTTAGAATATCAAAACTATTTGCTAAACAAAATAAAAAGAAAATAAAAAGAAAATATATAAAGTAAAAGTTAAAAATTAAAAAGAATGAGTAAAAAAAATAAGAAAACATGATAGAATTAGAAATAGAAAAAGTAAAAATATTAGGAATAAAAAGCATTAAAAAATTAAAATATTAAAAGAAATATTAGAAAGTAAAAGTAAAAAAATTTGAAAGAAAATAGGGTAGATTAGGGTAATATAAGCACTTGGTAATATGAGCATACTAAAGGCAATACACGTTATTGAATGTATTAGAAAACCTATATTTCATCTAATATCGTCTTCTTTTAAACACAGTACCTTTCCTGATATGTTCAAAGTTGCTTAAGTCAATCCTGTTTATAAAAATGAAGATTGTAATAATATGTCTAACTACCCTCCAATTTCCCTCCTACCAGTGTTCTCTAAAGTTTATGAAAAAGTAATCTACAATCGAATTTATAATTACTTGAAGTTAAACAAACTTTTATATAAAAATCAAATTGGTTTTTAAAAAAGTTGCTCAACAAAGCATGCTATCATTGAACTTATTAATAAAATATTTCAATTTTTTAATAAAGAGGACCATTTACTTGGAGTATTTATAGACATTTCAAAGGCATTTGATACAGTTGACCACAACTTCTTACTATCAAATTTAAAACTGCTTATCAATTTTGAGCAGCCGTGGCGCAGTGGTAGCGCACTTGTTTCAGAAACGTAAGATCCGTGGTTCAAACCCCACCTCTGGACAAGTTTTGCGACATCGGTTGGGAAGGAGGCGTGAACTTCCTATTAAATGCTCTTCCGCGGTGCTCTGTGATAAGACCGTAAGGACTTCTTGGGGCACCTAAATCAACATTAATAAAAAAAAAAAAAAAAAACACATTATGGTATCAAAGGACTAATGTATAAACGGGTAAAAAAGTTATCGGAGTAACAGAAAGCAGTTTGTAATTAACAAAGAGTCAAGTGTTCTTGAAATCGAGTATGGGGTACCTCAAGGCTCAATCTTAGGACCGTTATTGTTTTTAATTTACATCAATGATATGCATAAAGTATCATCTATATTATCTTCAATAATGAATGCTGATGACACAAATTAATTTTATAATCATAGTAATTTTAAATCGATGTTCGGAACAATGAATGCTGAACTGGAAAACTATAATTTATCGTTTAGAGCAAATAAACTATCCTTAAATTGTGAAAAAAATAACTACATCTTATTTCATAAAACAGGTCAATCAATGTCTCTACCGTTAAAAATTCCAGAGTTGCTCATTAACAACATAACAATAAAACGGGAAAAATATGCAATGTTTCTTGTTGTTCAAATTAATGAAAATTTATCATGGAGAAATCATATTGGACATAGAATCAAAAATATCATCTGCAATAGATATTTTATTTAAATGTCGCCCGTTTCTAGATTTCTGTTCAAGAAAAAAACTTTACTTTAGTCTAATTCACAGTCATCTCCCATATGCTAATATAGTGTGGGCTAATACACACAAAACAAAATTAATCAAATTACAAGGCTTGCGAAACCACGCTTTTAAAGCAAATCATTATCTTGGTAGAATGGACAATCCTTCCAACGCGATGACAAATACGCCAGATGGCGTTATTAAGGGAATCTGCGAAAAGATTTTTTTTGGAGTTTTATACCCAAAAATGCTGAATCTTCTTTGATTTCCTTTTTTTAGGTATTAAATTATACAAAAAATAAATATATATAATAGTTATTATACCAGAATTTATATTAAAGTTTGCATCAATACAATATTAATGTATCAATATTATATTAATGTATTTTTATCAATCTGATACGTATTAATTTTGTATATATATTTTCTTTTTTTCACAATAATAAATGTATATTTTATATGGTATACCGGGAGAAATAAAAAATAAATAAACAAATAAATGTAAAAAATAAAATAAAAGATTTCTAAGATGTATGCAGCGAAGTTAAAGTTACTTTGTATTCTTTGAATCGACTTTTAATGTTTTTAAGTGTTAAAATTTCTTTTTGATTAAAAACAAAACATAGTAAAAATTGTTAATATTTTAACAATAATAATTATATTTTTGCAATTTAAATTTAAAAAGTTTGAATTTATATTACAAAAAAAAAAAAAAAAAATTGAAAAAATAACGAACTAATTTTTTTTTTTTTTTTTTTTTTTTGTTTCGGAAAACGTAGTAGTATTGTTTCAACAAAAAGTGTCTTAAAATTTGATCTTTTAATGATAAATTTTGTTAATAACAAATCATTATATTTCAAAAATTTGTGCTAATTTAAAGTGCTCATACAGAACCAACAGACAAATCAACAGACCATAAGTGGTCTGGATAATACGAGCACTTTTGCTACTTCTTTAAAACCTCTGTGTTTTTAGGGGAAAAATTTTGGGTGCCCAAATATTTAATTAGATTATGAATAATAATCCCTAGAAACTATTTATTTGCAAAATTTTTTGCTTAAGGAGCTAATAACAACCCTAAAATATTAACCCTAATCTACCCTTAATACAAAAATAAAAAATAAAAGAGTTGTATTTATTATATATTTATATTCTTAAGAATAAATTTATACATGAATATTAAAAAATATTCATAAGTATCTAAATAAAAATATTTATAAGAGTATAAATATATATTTATATTCTTAGAAAATTAGAATAAATAAAAAGTCAAACATTGCTGGCGCTTTTAGAAACTTAAGAAAAATATAGATAACAAATAATAAGATTTTTTCATTTTCTTTTAAATTATTCATTCAGCACTTCAAAATTATTCATGAATGATATCAAAGTAAACAAAATACCGATGAATGTTATCAAAGTAAACTCGTTTTTCATTAAAAAATTCTTTACCACAAACATTCATCACAGTTTTACCAGAGCCAATATTTATCAGGAAATAAACAATGCGTGTTGTTTGCCAAATATTTACTAGTTATCAATGAATTTTTAATTACTATTGATATTTCTATAGCAAAAATACAGTAATTCCTGGCCAGAATTATAATTCGTGTCCAATTTATAAAATGGTCTAATTTGCTTGATAAAACAATTATTGTTAAATTTTTTTGATATTTATGACACATCTTTTAAAAAATTTAAAATTTTTATTTTTCCCTAACTTACAAATGCGTAGCAATTAATTAGTTAAAGGTTAATTAAGCAGGGTTAAAAATGTTTTCTAGCTGAATTAATTTTTTGTTTTTCCTCTAACTGTTCATCTTAAGAAAAACCAAAAATATAGTAGTTGTGAAATTTCTCTTTTTTTTAAATTTTTTTATGTTTATTTTGAGTATTTGCGTTAAGTATAATACGAGTTTGTCTTCAGTTTTTGGTTTTGAAGTTGTCTTTTAATATTAGCATCATCACTGTATCAATTTAAAGAATTGTTCTATGTTTACACGAATAAAGTATTCAATATCTGTCTCAAACATAGATTTCAAACTTTTTACTTGTATAGTACTGTTCAAATCATTCATCATAATAAAATCACCACAAATTACATGTTCTAAAATTTCTCAATTTATAAACATATCACCTTTTTACAAAAATAAAGATGCGC